TTTTGTTTTGGTGCTGCTATTAGAGCCTCACATTCCTAACTCAACCTTTTCACTTATGGCTGACTCTCAACCACTGGAATTTTGCTGGTTAATTGGAGGTAAAATGTATCTTTCCAGGATCACTAGTTGAACATGATCAAAGATCTTAGTCTCCTGAGTAGCTGGTATTACAGGATTAAACTATACTATCAGATTACTACCAGTGACCAGCTCAGGGGACTTTCTTTTCAAGAGAAAGCACATTTTAGTATAACTCCTCAGGAAGTTAACAACAGACAGACTCTTCTTGATAAAGATCATAAAACCCCCAAAGACCACTTTATTTTTCATTTCACACATTTTATTATCTTACAAAAGTTGTATAAAGGAGTTGTCATTTAATAAAAGAATTTATGAATACAATGCATCTTGAGCAATGTCACCCTTCAACATTTTTTACCAACCTCTTCCAGACCTCCTTTTCCCTCACTGTCCTTAATTTTCTGGATATACATTGAATTCTTCACCACATTTCCCCCTTCTTCTTTTCTTCATTTGTCTACCCCTCTCCCCTTGATCCCTCTTCACCCCTTTCAAGTACTCATTTCCTGGTGTTCATTTCGTGGAAGTTTGACTTTGCCTTTCTAAGATACTACATTATTTGAGTTCTCCCTTGAAGTTACCATACTTCAGTTAATAAATTCTCATATACCTGCATCCTACCCAATATACTTACTTACAAGTTTATAAGCTAAGTTTAGCTTTCACAATGAAGGGAAAAGGACCGTTTTATTAGAAATAAAATCACTTGAAACATGAAAAAAAGTTAAATTAACAGGAACGTTAGTCAGCATGGCAATTTCTAGCATGTCAGACTGCCACAGCCACAACTTCTGGGAAATACATCTTCTTCTGAAATCTCAGGTGAGACTGATGACCTACGTGATTAAATTTTTTTAAAGTAGTGATTGTTGTTCAGGGAACAACACAGGCCACAAAGTCTGATTGTGCTGATATAGAAATGATTTCACATGTAGAGTGGAACAATCCTTTGGGAAACTGGCAGTGTGAATGTTGAGATCACTTGGACACTGTACAATCTCAAAAACATTCTTTAAGTACTGAGGTTATATGGCAGTTATCTCCCAGAAATACTTCATCAGAAGACATCAGGAGGTCATAATCAAATGCAGGTGATCTGGCCAAGAACAGAGAAGGGCTGCGTGGAACATGCACTGGCTCTTCTCCAGCACAAGTCCAGATCAGAGAAAAAAGGAGAAGTAGCTCTCTGAACAGCAGGAAAGCCTTCATTCAGCCAGAGCTCAACCCACTGCATCTCCAGGAAACAGAAAATTGTTGAGTGGATCCCAGGGGACTTTTAAACATGGTGAACAGATGAGCGTGATGGTACATGCCTGTAATCCCAACAGTTGGGGAGAAACTAGAGCAGGAGGATCAAGAGCTCTGAGCCAGGCTACATAGTGAGACCCTGCGTCAAAAACTAAACTAGAAAAAGAAGAAGAAGCCAACAAAAAACATGAGCTAATCTGGATGTTCTTTATGTTTCTCCTCCCACTAAGGAAGTCATAAATTAGAGGAAAAAAGAAGAAACAAATAGAAAACCTGGAGCATAGTAAACAGCACTAGTGTGGATGCTCTTCATTCTTTATTTCCACTAAGGAAGTCATTGTGTGTGCGCGCACACGTGCGCACGCGCGCGTGTGTGTGTGTGTATGTACTCTCTCACACACATATATACATACACATATACATGAATATATATATATATATAGGCATGCTAAGATACATCAGGGTGACATATATGTATATATGACATATATATATATATATATATATATGACACATGACACATGATGACTACCACACACAAATGAATAGGCAGAGTGATTATGACCTTCCTGATATCATCAGAGTGACTGAAGACATTAAGGATGTCATATTCTTCTTGAAAAGAAACTTAACCAGATCTGAGGGAATCAAGCATTTGTTGATCCTCAGTGAGAATCTTTCATCAATTGATTTGCCATTGGCCATTTAATTCTACCCCACGCACCACTTGCTCACAGATACATCTGCATCCTTCTTGTAGACTCAGGTTGGACCATGTCATCTTGAATCAGTTACACTGAGGTTTAAATAGGTATGTCTAAACACGAGTTGATGGTGGTTTGTAGAAATATGCATTTAGAATATTTAACTAAACTAAAAATGAAGTTCTAGACCATAATCGTGTGCATTCTATATAGAATAAGTGTAAAATTTTAGTCTTATTGCATAACATTTAGAAACTTTTAAAGAACCTAGGATATCCTGAACAAAATAACACAGATTAAAATGCAAAATGAACTTTAAATGCTTTCAAATATCACTTCTTCCAGATTACACAGTTAGGGCTAGGCCAATAAAATTGGTTTAACTAGAGTATTGTACATATATGTATATGTGCCTTTTAAAACACCTGCATTTGCTGATCACTGTATGACACAAGATTATCTTCTAATGTCTCCGTGAAAATGGGCAATTACTACAAATCTTGGACTATTCCATCTTTTAACAGGAATTGGTTGTTAAACAGGAATTGGTTGTTAAACATTGTTTATGTTTGTCAGAACAGAGACTTCTTTGGCACTGCTTCTTTGGATCCATGGATTATACAAAACCATCAAATTTTCTTTTTTCTTTTTTACCTGGTGAACCATATCAGAAACTTTTCCTCCATTATGCGTAATTTCTAGAACAATCGAGCAGTCAGAGTCTGGGTGCCACCCTGACTCTATCACTTTCTGGTTTATTGACTTTAGGAAAAATCTCTTGGTTTTCTGAACACCAATTTTTCTCCCCTATAAAAAAATGCTAACAACTATGTCTGACTTGGTTGCAATAGTAATTTGTTTTGTTCAAGTGAATTAATATACATGAATGTTCTTTATAAAACTAGAAGCTATATAAAGTTATTTTAATCATATAGTACCATGTAAAGGAGAGCTGACAACAAAAATCTTTGTGCTTCAGATTTTTCCATTGAGAAAGCCAATTGAATACAATTTCCTGAAAATAATTTCATCTTTATAGAAAATCTGCTAACATCTGTTAAGGTTCACAAAACAATTAAGTAGAGATGTCTTTTAAGTCAGCAGAAAATCAATAGCTATATATTGCTATAAAGATAACTTCCTGGTACTACAATACAAAAATCTACTATATTTGAAGTTTAATCTACATGAATTTTAAAAAACTCAGTAGGTAGCAGTTAGAGTGAATTATAGCAAAGTATGTTTCTCCTCATGAAGAGTGATATAAGCATTTCTTAGTGTTGAAAACTTTAGATTTCAGAGAGTACTGAGTGTTTGGAGCACTCAGAGATGAGAATTAATTAGTGTTGGTAAATCCCCATGGTAACTCATTAAGTCATTTCAGTCTTTAAGGTGAGTTCTTTTTTTTTGGGGGGGTCCGGTCATGGGACCTGAACTCTGGGCCTGGGCGCTGTCCCTCAGCTCTTCAGCTCAGGGCTAGCACTCTACCACTTGAGCCACAGCACCACTTCCAGCTGGGTTTGAGTTCTTTTTTTTTTTTTTATTTCAGTCTTTAAGGTGAAAAGGCAGAAAATTCTAAATGTTTAGAGAAATGTCATTCTATATATGGAAAAATTAATATACTCAAATTGAGATGACACAGAAGAGGTAATTGATTTGGCAAACCTCATTGTCTTATTTTTAGAAACTGCCACAGCCACCTCACCTTCAGCAACCATAACTCTGAACAGTCAGCAACCATTATCACCCAAGTATGTATGACATTCGGTTAGCAAAAAGATTAGCTAAGCCTTTTTCAACTTTAAACAACAACATTAAAGTATGTATACTTTTTAAACATAATGTTCTGGCATATGTATTGGACTATAGTATGATCTAAATAACTTTCATATTTACCAAGAAACGAAACTTGGTATGGTTTACTTTATTGCAATATTTCATTATTCCAGTTGTTTCCTCTTATAAAATGTATGCAAGAAATGAATAACAAGTCCTTACAATGGCGACTTCTTATTTGTTGCTTTTTTTCTATAAACGTTGATGCAGTATATGATCCAATATCTTAGTTAAAGGACATAACTATTCAAGTCATATTTGCAAATAAAAAAGCCTAGAGGTTTTACTTCTAGGTGAATCTAAGATCCTTCAGGCAATGACCACTCTGAGGGCAGAAGACAGCAGTGAAAAAAAGTTGTTTTTTTCTTCTTCTCCTGTGTTTCTCTCTCTCTCTCTTATGCTCAAGCATTTTGAAAAGTGTGGCAGTTTTCATTCAACATTCTAAAGCAATAAATGTTCAGTAACGCATCAATGTCACTGGCAAGTCCCCATTTTGCCCCACCTCTCAGCATGCAATGCCTGCCAAGAACCTGTCATTCAGTAGTGACCCCACTCAGAGTGTCCTTTAACAGGAATTTGTTTCATGGCTTTTTGCCTCTCAAAGTCCTACCCAACCTACTTAGATGACCCTCCTTCCTTCATGCCCGGGGAATCAAGAGGAAGGGAGACTTACTATTTGTTTACCATGATGACAAGCAGCCAGTGTAGCAAACTGATCTGTGCCAGTTGTCAGTAGAGTAGGGAAGGCTGCTTTTCCTCCTTTTAGGCAGCATGCTCAAGCTAGAGATGTAAAGACAATCCAAAGCACCACTTTCCTATGAGTTTACATCAACCTGGATGTACCATTTGACTTCTATGACACAACCAAAACATGCCTCTATGAATCCCGCCCATAGGTAGCAGCTGCCCCCAAAGAGGGCATAGTACACATAAGCCATTTCTGAGATGGTCTCCTCTAAAACTGAAGGCAGAAAGCTGCCTCCTCTGCTTCCATATGGTCTAGCACACATCAAAATTCTTCACCTCATTGCCCACGTGCATTGCCCTCTTGCAACGAGATCTCAATCCACAATCCAAGTTATGATGCTTCTCTGGTTGGAGTTGGACAACAGAAGACATACACAATCAGGATTCCAAGAAAATAAATTTATTAAACTTTGAAGGAAAAACTCCACGGACATAAAGAAAGTTAAATATATACTGCAGGACACAACTAGTCATACTAGTGAATAATGGCTTGTGTGGCCAGCAAAAGTACCAAAATGACATTCTGAGACTGATTGAGGTATTTAGCTATTTTTTTTTGGCTATAGAAATGTGGTCAGCCTATTGTGAAAGAATAAAATAGGTCTTCCAAACACATAGCTTTAAGTTGAATTAGGTTCTATGTTGATGACATTTTATGTGAAACTGAATTATTATGGAGCTCTTGGAGAAAACCATAGCAGCAATGTAGCAGAAAAATCTATTAAACATCTATTACAAACTAATGTGTCGAACTTTAAAAACACTCAATTATAGATTTTTCACCGTCTTTCTTGCATGAGAGAATTTAAAATTACTAACCATTAAGCTTCCTTTCCCAAAATGTCTGAGCTAAATGGCAAGTACTACAGAACTTCAAGCTAACTTTAAAGGCTTAACCTTTAAAAAGTACTTAAAATGGGCAATATTCTTCGGTGAGATGAACCCTCTCTTTTTTCCCCCATTTTGGGGGTATCCCCAAAAATGATGTTGAGGCCATTAAGGAATAGAAAAATAATCTGTAAGTCAATTAGGCCTTATTCTTCTGATTACCTGGTTCGAGGCCAATCTTCTCAGAGAGAAAAAAAGAAAATCATGAAATTTCTTTTACAACTTAAATCCTATAAAAAGTTTGGCAAGAGACAAAGTTTCTGCTACTTGTTTAATTAGTTCTGAATTATTCTTTGGGATGGAGAACCTCATTACTTCTGCTCCTTATGGTGAATAATGAACGTGTATCTGGCTAGAGGTTGTGAAATAAATACCTACTCTTGAGCTTTCTGTCCTTTTACCCAGTTAACTTTATTGGATTTGCTTCAACTCACAAGTGCTGCTTGTGCCTTATTCCTTCTTAGATGAGTGTGAAATAAAACCAGGATCTGTTAGAGGAGATACCATTATGGAGGTGTTAAGAGTTTCTTTCTCATGATCTGCACACTCTAACCATCTCACTCCACATGCTTGGCTAGCAAGAACCACCTATTAATTCTACTGTTCTTAGCACGAAGCCTCTGGTTTCAACTGAAATTTGGTGAAGATAGTTTGAACTTTTGGTTACTGATATCTGTGTAAACATTTTAAAGTTCTCTAAATCAAAACAGTATTTGTTTAAAAATTCAGAGTAAAAAGAATATGTCTCAATAATACAGGCTATTAGACATTTTAGAATTGCTTCAGAAGTTGGGGGAGATATAAAAAAGGGCCTTTGTAAAAAACTAACTTATTTGTTTTTCTTTAGATGCATTTGACCAAAGCATGAAACCAGCTTTAGACTGTAGTTTCTTCATTCCTTAGACAAGTCATGATGAACTACAAAGCACAGTGTGTAGTGTATTACAAAATAGCCATGCTTGGAGTTTAAATTATTAAAAATATCTTTCTCGATTTTATGTCAAAATAACTGTTTTACATATCCAAACTATTTTGCTAGAAGCTTTTGAGACGCTCATCTAGAGTTCTGGTTTCTAATTATCTGAAAAAGGAAAATAAAATAGTCTGTGCTGTGATTTGCATTCAATTTCTTGAATTGCAAAAGCCACCTGATTTGTTTGCTTTTCCAAAAAGCACAATTTGCCATACATTAAAATCACAGCCATTCAATGCTTAGTGTCACAAAATTAACACCCACAATAATAAGACAATTACTGCTACCTATAGTCTTTGAGACAACGCTTTAAAATATTTACAGTTCACGATGGTAGTATATATCTGATTTACGCGTTCTTTTTCTTCTTCTCATTTTGTTATCAATGTTTAGTATCTCATTTAGTATCCAACGTTTCAGGAAAAGGCATTCAGACTCCACCCCCACCCTCACACTTCCCTCAGCCCCACAAATCATTTTACACATGTTTTTGGTTTAAGCACTTAAAATCTAGACAATTGTTTGCGATTAGGTATATCGCTCTTGAGAATCAGATAAAGGCTATGGCATGATTTTATTCAATTGGTCTGTGCTCACATAGCCACACGAGGAGAGGAACTCTTTGTCAGACAAGGGCAAGGCAGTGGCATTGAGCAGGAGGCCTTGTGGAGACTGAACTATGTGAATGGAGGTATAATCTGGGACAGGCAACTCAGAACTCGGGGTGTGTTTCACCGTCCCAGACCTCCCGGCAGTAGTGGTAAGGCTTTCTGTGGTGATGTAAATGTCCTCCTGGTTAAAGCGAGGTTCTGTGAGTGACTTCACCTCTGTGTGAGGGGCGGAGGGAATGCACTTCTTGGCATCTGACTCACAGAAGTAGGCGTTGTCCGCGATGAAGTTTGCTTGGCAGAGTGACACTTCTTCTGCATGCACACTGCTCTGGGCTGTCCCTGCCTTATTCCTTTGGCCTGGAGAAAGGACCACACTCCCTGCTGGTGTAATGTCGCTTACCTGGGCATAAAAGTCAATGTTTGCCAGTGAACTTGGATTGTTTATCTGGGTAGGGACAACTTGGGGAGCTGACTCAGTTTCCCCAGTCAGAAGTGGTTGTGGTTTGTCTTCCTCTACTCGGATTACACTAGGCCGGTGAGTGACAGAGGAGGCATGAGGATAAGATGGTTTATTTTGATTCTTCTGGTCAAGGCACAAGAGATCAGCTTCCCCTTTTAACCTCTGTGGCTGAGCCACCTCTGAGGTACCATCATCTATGTCACTGGTATTGAAATCAGTCTCTAGAAGATCAGGCTCATAACAGCTGGTACGCCCAGAGTCATCATCCTTTGCCCCAAGGAGATTCAGTGATTTCTGACGGTCACTGTTTAGAAGTCTGTCTGTATCTGACCCTTCCGTTTTTTCATCCAGATCATCAATATCTAGTTCAATAAATTCAACCCATGAGTCATCATTGTAGAATTCAGGTTTATAATGATCATGAATGGCTAAGATAGTGTTCACCTCCTCCAATTTTCCTTCCTAGAAAGCAGACAAAAAATGAAAATGTATAAAAAGAAAGCAATAATAATTAAGTAATTTAAAATCTGACCCACAGAGCTTGCAAAATTTCTCAACATATGTCAGCAATCTTAAGATATCACTTAATTCAAGCTAGCTACAGTTTAGATAGGTTATTAATTACCTTGAGGAGATCTGGATCAATTCCTTTAATCTTTGGAACTGGAACTGGAGGCAAAATCAGCATCTTAATCCTGGAAAACAAATAAAAGTTTTGTTTGACATATCTTTAAAATGACACATTTCCTTATTTCAAAAATTAGGAATAAAGTATTGGCAATACTACCATTTATTCCAAATACTCAGGTATTTCATATGAGAAAGGAAAGAAAAAATACTAATCAATCCACGATTTAAAAATATAGGAGAAAATATTAACAAGATAGCTTTTATTTGAATTCCATTTATCACCATGTTTTCTTCCTTTATGCTTTTCATTGATAGTCAACTTTAGTATTTGGGAAAGAGAAGTTTGATTCTGTCTGATGCCAACTTCCATGTCAGTAATAAGGAAGGAAATTTTTAATTTTTTATTTATTTTTTAAATACCTGTTTTTATTGTAAAAATACTGTTCAGAGGGTTTACAGTTACATGAGCAAGGTCATGAGTACATATCCTATCAAGCATTGTTACCTCCTCCTTTGTTTTTTCCCTACCCTCTCACCTCCACAACTATATGCCGCCCCCCTCCCCCTGCCTAAATTGTAAAGTTCGTTTTCCAACATTATGTCTTGTACATCTCGTTGTTACAATGGGTCAACCTGTATCCCTATTTAAGCATTTTTTTCCTTCCCCTCCCCAAGCAAGAGAAGTGTATATACAAGATGCAGGGCACCGACATCAAATACAGTGAAAACAGGGGTTATACCATGAGGGAGAACATACAAAGAAACAAAAAAAATCACATGGTACATTATAATTACGTTAGGAACAATAGCAAGAAAGAAAAACCACTTGTGTCCCTATCTTGGGGTTCATTTCACTTAACATCATCTTATCTGGTCATATGAACATAGCTTTTAACCTTTTCTACTTGTCCCAGACATATACTAGTTATTGCAAATAAGGGAAACCATGGGACCTATGTTTCTTTGGGCTTGGCTTACTTCACTTAATATAATTTTTTCCAAGTCTTTCCA